CACAACAATTTCCTCACCATTTTTTCCCTTTCAACCTTCATTCAAAAAAAAGACATAAAGTTTTAATTCACTGGTAGTGAAGAGGGGGACTTAACTCCAGCACCAGGGGCTCTTCGGGGACGGGCGGGCGTCCGTGGATCACTGGACGCCAGCGTCCTGGTCCGGGTTGTCCCTACTGTTGAGAATCTCCATACCTTCGTCATCACAGGCTGAAGGAGAGAGAGCTGGCGTTTCATCTTCAGCGAACCCTCACTTCTTCTTCGGCTTTCTCACACAGAAATCGTTTCAAAAGGACTCGTGTATCTAGTGCGTACCGAGTTGCGCCAGCAGGGAGATGACGGAGCTCGTCAGGGTGGGGCTGGTGTCGATTTATCCAGACAGCTCCACCAGGCCCATCACCACACTCGCGGGGCATTACATGACCCGAGGGGCGGCAGCAGGTCACATTTAAGTCCCGACACCTCCTGCTTCCCACGCAAGAACGCATTTACACAGACACACAAGCATCGTCAACAAAACCTAGCAATGTGCACAACATCACCTCATTGCTTGTTGTCATGGGGGTTTCTATTCCCCACAAAGCTAGCCCCCCCCCCCCCGGTGTATAAAAATAAAAGGCGATCTACCCGGGAGCGTGATTCTGCTTGGTAAGCTCATTCGTGACTATTAGGGGGGGGGGGGCGGTTTGGTGTGCGGGACCCGCTCGGAGCGGAGGATTGATTTGTTTCACCTTACTAGGAAGTGCGCGCGGCGTCCGGGAAGGGGCGGGGCTCCGGCGACAAGCCTGCTGCTGCTGCGCCACCTAACAAGGCGCTGCGCCATTTCAGCGCTTCTGCAACCGAAACGCCCGACCCCGCGCTGGCTGGCGGGTGGGGGTGAGAGGGGGGGGCGCGGTGTATTTTACTTGCAGGAGAAGCACAGAGCGGCTTCTCTTTTTGTTTGAAAAAGCGCTTCTTTTTTTTTTTTTTTAGCACGGCACGGCTCGGGTTCCCGGCCTGCGCGCTGTGCATGTGCACAGTGGGAGGAGAGAGAGAGCACAGCGCAGGCTAATGGCAGCCGGGCTTATCGCCGCCCCCGACGTGGCCGACGTCAAGTCGTCCCCGTGAACTTTGTCCCACAGCGGAGACATGTCCGGCCCGCTGCTGCTGCAGCTGCTGAGACGCGGCCGCGCGGCGCAGCGACCGACCGGCGCACTTTCCGGAGTCCGCTCCATCATAGACACGTCCTACTCGGCGCACTTCATGGACTTCGGCCGATCCTCCATACCGAGCGTCATGCGGAAGCTGGTCGTCAACAAGCTCAGTCCCGATTTCCGAGAGGCCGTGACCGCGCAGACGGTCGCGGTTCCGACCCCCGGGGACGCGGAGCTGCTCGTCAGGAATCGGTGAGTTGTTTTTTTTCCCCCTGGGAAACAGAGGACGGTTCCGAAGTGTCTCCCCCCCTCTCTTTCTCCCCCCCCTCTCGCTCTCTCCCCGCGCGCTCCCGATAGCAGCAGGGTGACCCGCGACGTGTCACGGGTCCATTAGTGGTTCGGCAGTGTGATGTCGATCCGTCACAGGGGGCTGACGTGCAGAAGTTGTACAAAGGGCTCCGCTTACCTTGATTCACGCACGTCCGGCACCTGCGATCCTCCTCCTCCTCCTCATCACCATCATCATCATCACGAGATGGCACAAATACGAGAGGAACAAGCGCCGCACTGTATTTCCAAGTTCCGCCCCTCTCTGCGTTTGTCTATCAATCCATCTCTCTCTCTCTCTCTCTTTCTCTTTCTCCCCCCTCTCTCCCAGTCCTCCTGTCTCACTACGTCACCAAACAGCAAACAGAAAGTCCTTTAGGGGGGGGGGACTAGCGTCAAGAGATGGAGATGATGGAGATGCGGTGTTACATGACGCGGGATTGCAGCATCATTCCTCTGATCGGCATCAGAGCCCGTTTGCATTTCCAATAATCAGGAGTTCTTGTATGAATAGTGGTAAACTATGTGTGCAAAAGATTTAAAAGAGCAGCATTTGTGGTTCTTTTTTTTTTCTCTGACTCCAGCGGGAGGTAATATCTTTCCCTAATTCAGATTTACTACCACATTACTGACCTTTTTATCGGCACATGTCTTACAACCACTGAAATGTTACTTGATTTGTGACTTTCTGCCTTGTAAGACAGAGAGGAAGTTGTGTGTGTGACCTGAGGACCAAGCCCGTTATTGTCTGTCCATCATGAGAACAGTGGACAGGATTTGACGAACGAAAAATACATATTTCTGTTTGTGGATTTGTGCAAATTTAGAACAACTTATTCCGTATTGCACAGAATCAGTGCGGCCTTAAGATTTATTACATACGAAAAGGGTTGATTAGCAAATTTTAGAGCGAGAAAGTGATCATTGAATGGATCCTGACTGCAGTGAAAGGGGCCGAATAAATCACAAAGAAGAAATTCTACTCTAGGATTACATCATTGAAGCACACTTTGCAACATGCAGTAAATCCTCAAGACCCCAGGTTTCACTCCGTGTGTGGTCTTTAAGAGTAAAACACACAGAGACGAACACGAAAGCAGAGGCTGCGCGTGAAAAGACCGAGTGTATGGTTCAAACTGGACCATCATCATAAATCCACAATCGCCTTCACTATTTTTATATGAAAACAAAATCATTTCCACAAATGTCAGTTTTGCGATAATTCTAAAATCGAGGCAATTAAACCGTATCATGTCATGTAGTGTTTTCCAAAGTGTAGCTTGTGTGTATCAACATCACATCATGGCTTTGTGTAATAATTGTTGCTGTACTTTAGAACATTTTATCATCGTTAATACATTCTGCAGTTGTCATTCTAATTCAATTGGTCTTGATTGAAGTGTATTTTAAATAAACCTGTGGAACAGCTCCTTTTCCATGACAAAACATTTCCCTAAAAGGGCAATAGATTCCAAAGGTGCAAAGTAGTCAAATCCTTGTGCCTTCTGTCCCCGTGACCCATCTAATAAACCACGAGTATCATCCGCCAGCTCAAAGTACACGTGGGACGTGCACAGCAATGAGGCTCGGCGTGCGCGCCGCTCTAAAAGACAGTAAATGATTTATTTATACATTCCTTTCTCACATATTTGTTTGCAACATGTTTCCAGAGCACGAGGAAAAAACCGCCGTCTCCATGTCGAGGCACGGTTTTTAAAAAGTGCGCTTTTGTTGTGGGTGTCTCTGAAGACAATGAATCATGACATCACGCGACGTGTTCTGTGATACAAGCCTCCCCCTGTCAGCGCCGGGCCGGGAAGGGAATCATGGCCAAAACAAACCCGAGTGTTTGTGCCGTGTGCAGACATGCCCACAGAAGGAAGCTGAAGTCTCGACCTTCAGACAGAATTCTGGGAGAAAAAGCGCAGTAATGGCCGCCGCGTAGGATATTACACTTTGTTCAATCATTTTGCGTTTCTTCCTTTTTGTATTTCAGTTTTGTAGGAGTCAACGCCTCTGACATCAATTACTCGGCGGGCCGCTACGACCCCTCGGCGAAGCCCCCCTTCGATGCCGGCTTCGAGGGCATCGGCGAGGTCGTCGGCCTGGGCCTCAGCGCCAGCTCCCGCTACACCGTGGGCGACGCGGTGGCCTACTTTGGCAGCGGCGCGTTCGCCGAGTACACGGTGGTGCCGGCCAAGGAGAGCGTGCCCGTCCCCGCGGTGAGGCCGGAGCTGCTCACCCTGCTGGTCAGCGGCGCCACGGCCTACATCGCCCTGAAGCGCCTGGGCGACCTGGCCGAGGGGGAGACGGTGCTGGTCACGGCGGCCGCGGGGGGCACGGGCCAGTTCGCCGTGCAGTTCGCCAAGCGGGCCGGCTGCCACGTGATCGGGACCTGCTCGTCCGACGAGAAAGCCGGCTTCCTGAAGTCCATCGGCTGCGACCGGCCGATCAACTACGCCGCCGAGGACCTGGCCGAGACGCTGAGGCGGGAGTACCCGCGCGGCGTGGACGTGGTGTACGAGTCCGTCGGCGGCAGCGTCCTGCAGGTGGCGGTGAACAGTTTGGCCAACAGGGGCCGGCTGATAGTCATCGGCTTCATCTCGGGGTACCAGACGGCGTCGGGGATCCCGGCCTTCAGAGGGGCCACGCTGCCGGCCAAGCTGCTGCAGAGGTCGGCCAGCATTCGGGGTTTCTTCCTGCCGCACTTTGTCGGCGACTACAGGGAGGCCCTGGGCAGCATGATGCAGATGTTGGCCGCGGGGAAGCTGGTGTGCGAGGTGGACCGTGGGGATTTGTCCCAGGAGGGGAGGTTCGTGGGCCTGGAGTCGGTCTTCCGGGCTGTGGACTACATGTATGCTGGGAAAAACCTGGGCAAGGTGGTGGTGGAATTGTTACCGCCCCCCGTTGGTAATAAGCTGTGATTTAATGAATGAACGTGGTAACACTGCAGGGCTTTAGTTTTCGAATAGATACATTTCTTTATTTTTGAAGGATGACTTATATTAATCAACACAACGCTTGCACAAAATAAACAAAATAAGTGATTTTTATTTGCTGCTATTGCTGTTATGCAAACTAAATGCAATGGAAAAGGTGTTTTTCATTGTCACTCAGTGGAGCCGTTTGTTCAATTGTTTGTTAAATTATTTTAAACAAAGAAAATGTACAAATCACAATGCATTGATTGTGTTGCACAAATGTGATTTCGATTAAAAAATCCCACACGGTACACTGACCCTGAAAATATTTTTTTTACAGTGTTTCTTAAAACCACCGTCTGGTACGAGTCCATCTCAAAATTAATTTAGACCAGCTGCCATAATAGGTTTGCTTTCAGCACTCTCAGCCACTTTATCTACCATAAATGTTTTATGACGGACTTCATTGTTTTTCTAATGGCAGCGTACGTTGGTGTGTGCTTGTCGAGGGTGAGCGCTGCTCCAGGTGTGCTTGGTATTTCATCGCCCGTTTGTGGCTGACAGAAACGGCATTCGCACAATCAATCTTTTCATTCACATGTCCCAAAGCTGCACATAATTAAAAAAAAGGTTCAGTTAACCGGGAGACTCGCACTAGAAAATGCCATTAGGTTTCCACGCTGGAAGTAAAGAAAAAACACTTGTAGTGAATGCATTGTGCAATACCCTTTGACATTTCTTTCTTTTATTTCCATGTTTTTTTGTACGTGATTAAGTTTTGGATACAAGAAACAAAGCAGCACACCACAAGTTTGGAAGTTTAAATTGGATAATCTCTACAAAAATCCTCCCCGATATTTTCATGGTGCAAGAGCAGACGCCTCAATGGGTGAACGGTTCATGAGATTTGGTAAACAGAAGCGCTGCGCAGTATTAAAGCAGTCCACCTTATATGAGCGTAGCCTGAAACACACACCTGTTCCTGCGGCTGCGGCGTTCATGCGCTGTGAACGTGTTATTTCCTCGTCCAGGTGGCCACTCAAAATATAACCCAGTGTGAAACGCGTTACAGGTGTGACCCCAGCATGCAAAGCTGCTGCCTCCGACAGACGGCGCAGGAAATCAGAAGCACCAAGCCGAGGCCGGTTTGCCTCCACGGCGTAGGACGTCCCCGCCGACACGTCGCCTCAGATTCAAAAGACAAAAGATCTTTTTCTATTTTGTTAATAATACCGTATTATGAAAATGTTAAAATGAAAATCACCTCAAATGCATTAATATAAATCTGATCCATTTAGAAAAGTTCCTCTTGACATTCATTCCCGTGTTTCAATACACTTAATTAAATGTTTTCCTCCCAGAAGTGGATTCTCCGCTGTGGTTACGGCTCCTTTACTTCACTCAAAGCCAAAATGTTGGTACGTTTCAGAAGAAACGGAAGTCAACATTGAGTTTGTCTCCGCAGCAGACGGAACGCTGATGGTCAAATCGCTGCACTCGCCTCTCATCGCACCGCTGTTTCTTCAGGCGGAGCGCAGAAGCAAGCCGCACGGACGGTGAGGGGAGGCGGTGATGCACGAGGATGTTTAGCTGAAGTTTAGCGAGGAAGAGGAGGAGGAGGAGGAGGTGGAGGAGGCCAGGTTTAGCATCTCTTCAATTAACAGGAGAGGCCTCGTCTCGGCGTCCTCCGGGGCCTACCTGTACCTCCGCTGATTAGTGAGCAGTCACAGCCCCAATTAGAGAACACAGGAACCGGTAGAGACAGACACTCTTTATTTAATTGGATTGTGTTGAAGTCGGAGGCGGCTGACTGGCAACGTATTGAAGCAACTGTGGAGCGTAAACAAGACATTAAAAATAGAGAAGGCCTTCTGGAGAGGCATCCGCAGACTTTGGTGCCATGGTGAAACTTTGGAAACATTTTTTCCATTATAGTAGTTGTGTATCTCGTTTCAGTTGTTGCAGTATTCCTGGACGTAAGGGAGGGTGTTGTAAGTGTATTCAGTAACAAATTGTGGATGTGCTTTTTTTGTTTTTTTTAAGACTATATTACACTCTCAGATTTGTCCAAATAAAAACAATGAAACCGTCACTCCAGCTGCGTGCGCCATACTTGGTCTGAGTAGTAGCAGAAGAACGTTGGCTTCAATAACCTTCTCTAATTTTTGCCAATGTTACAATCATTTCTAGCATTTAACGTTAGGCGTTAAGTGTTTTAAAATAAAAATAAACATTTCTACGAAAAATTGTATTTATTTTTTAAAGCAGAATAACAAAAATCACGGTTATCTCTCTCTTTTCACTAAACCCTCTCTTTCCCCAGCTTTCCCGCCGCCGGAATACGCGGCACATAACAGAGTCATCACCCTTCGTACCGCGGGATGCTCGTCTACCTCCGGGCGCCTAAGGGACACTTGCTGGCTGCTCGGTGCTGCCAGGATCCAGACAGTCCGGTTTCCTTTTCTGTGCAAGTCAGTCAGACCTCCTCAACTCCCCAACTCCCCGAGCCCCCGTCACTCCTACCTCCGCCTAATTACCAAACCTAAAACCCCACTCCACTAATTAGCCACAGCAGACCCAAGAACTGTGAGTAAAGGTAAAGAGATGGCTTCATTCACCAGTGTGTGTGTGTGTGTGTGTTAAAGACAGAGACAAGAAGAAAGGGGAATGGAATATTCCAACCTCCTTTCGTGAACACATCTCTACAGCCAATTAAAGTCATTTATTAAACTCTTTGCGGAGCCTTGTGCATGACAGAATGATAGGGGAATGTATTTGTTTGTGGCTGTCCATGTGTTTCTGGATATGTTAATGTGCGTGGGGGGCTGCACGCGCTCACACACACACACACACATGCACGTCCACATGTGTCTCAGTATGGCTGGCAATCTGTCGTTTTCTTCTGTCTATCAGCGGCGCGAGAGCTCAGTGGGACATAAATTACAATATGCAGCTGAGCCACTTGTGTAAGTCTCAATGAAGGGGAGGAATAACTTTCTTAATCAAGTTCCCCTGATTAATTGTAATAAAGGTGTCATCCGTAAATTTGTCCTCCTGATTGAGTAATTCGGGGCCGGAGACAGTAAGCACATCCCTGGTGATTGGGGGAGGATGGACGGAGTGGGGGGAGGAAAGGTGTGCGGAGGACATACTGAGACACAAATAGCTCCTGGGCACACTGGCAGCCCTTCGCACAACTGACAGTTATGAAATACAATTATCGGTGTGATCTGCTTAAGAATTCATCAGCGGCCTCACCGGCCAGTAAAGACGTTCGTGGGGAGACGGAGATGAAGGGGAGGGAGGGAGGGAGGGAGACACAAGGGGAGAGAAGGCCTCGCTGATTAAATGGGATTTTTATTTAGTCCAGCAGATTGTTCACATTATGTTCGACCATTGTGAGGAGATTATCTTTTCTGTTGTTTTGCTCTGCTAGAATCACCTTGGCGGTTCCCTGACGTTCCACACAATGTCCGTCCAAACCAGTAGCTTTCCAAAGGCGCGATCTTCACCATGCGTGACTCGGTCAGCACCGGAGCTCGGAGACGCATGTTCAAAACGGGCTGCATTTGGTTGAACGCTGACTTCCAGGTCGGTGTTTCCCTTTTTGACATGTGGCCCTTTGAAATGAAGCAATGTCTCATTGTGGTCTCTTGTCTCGGGCTGCACATGTCTGAGGACGTTTCGTTTGGATCATCTTCAGAGGCTTGAGGAGATTAAATATTCCATCTTTTCAACAATAAAAGGCCAAAAATTTGAGGAAAAGTCCGGGATATTAACATACAAGCGTCCACAAAAAGTCATTTCTTTATGAGATCATTCTTTTCTTTTACTCGTCATTAATAATCTCACAACTCCTCAGCGTGTGGCTTCACTGTTCCTCAATGGCGTCTCCAGTCCGGGATTACACATTGCAAAATTGTCACTTAGATGCTGTTCAAACAACGGTGATATGTGACTTCGACATGATTTGAGTGGATCTCAGGAAGCGCACTGTAGAAAACATTCAGGCACGTAGCTCAAACCATTGGAACTGCCAATATTTGACAGATGATGATCTGCGGGAATATGTGACCAAGTTCAAGGGCAACCAGAACATGCGCACCCATTTAAAAGGCGTGATTTGTCAGCATAATAAAAACAAAACAAGAGAGAAGCCATATAGAACAGCATCAACACAGTATAATAAAACTTTATTCTACATCGCTGCATCGCTTTTATGGAATAAAAGATGAAAACCAGCACCGCCGCTTCTATTTGACGGATAAAATCTCACTCAACGGCATTCATCATCTCGTTCTACCTACATTAACCCCGTAGGGCACATCTGCAGCCTCTGGAGGGGAGCGAGGGTCCCTCACTGTGTCTGTTCAGATGTAGATATATATTCAGGTGAAAGGCAAGGGCACTATTCACTAACTCACGATTAATGACAACATCATCGCCATCACAGCGCCGACCAGGCGCACATTTCCATTGGCTGGATAAAGAGGCGACAGTGGGGGGGGATGTGTGGTATATGAGCATCCTGTCAGCGGTATGACGGACAGGTCCTCAGTCCAGCTCCCCCAGGTCCCCCCGTTGTCCTTATTCTTTACCGGCCTGAGCCGGCTGGCGAGGCAGCGTCTCTGCGGCCAAGGACACCGGGGTGTCAGCAACGCGTCCGGGTAACATCGTCCGTCAGGCCGCATCGGTAATGGGGAGCTCTCTGTGACAGTGGTCATCAGGACACAAAAGCAAAAGGGCCCATAAACATTGCATGACAGATGGCTGGGAGGACAGCTTCGGGACGGGGGGGGGGGGGGGTGGAGAGCGAGCGATAAAGTGAGACGGAGAGAGAGGGAGATCTCAGGCTGCATCGTTGAGTCTCATGAAACGTCTCCAGCGCCGGATGGTTTATGAATGTCCACGGTCAATGTCAGCTGTGGAGGGAGAAACTGGAAATCACAGGGGGGCTTTCAACCGATGATGTCCAACAAAAAGAACAAGTGCAGTCAGTGCAAAATGGCGCCCGTAAATCAGCTGATTCACACAAAATCTTTTGTCTTATTATTGCAGGAGAAACATACTGACGGCTGCCTTTTAGCTGCAGAACAAAATCTGTCTTTCATCGAGATGTTTTCCTGAGAACATGAAGATTGTTCAAGCGCTTATTTCTCAATTTAGTGAACTCCCGTTTCTGTCCTTTTTGGACTTCCTAAAGTTTGCGTGCCTCCAAGTTTGCGAGGACTTTAGTGGACCAATTAGTGGGGTGAAACCATTTAACCTCCAGCGTGCCACAAACGTTTCAACAGAGGGGGCCGATATGAAAGAGGTG